CATCATCATCATCATCATCATCATCATCATCATCATCATCATCATCATCATCATCATCATCAGCGGTGATGAAGCCCAGACAGAGGACAGCCTACTCTGAACCCTGACCGACAAACACTGTGTTGTTTATCTAGTAACCCCCCCCTCCTGTTAGCTAGCGTTGAACTCCTGCTAGCAGCAGCAGCTAGGACAGCTAGCCTGGCAGTTAGCTGTTGATTCTGCCCTCAGCACAGAAGGAACAGCCTCCGCCTGCCCTCCTCTCCACACTGAGGCCCTAACCGTCACTAACCGAAGCAGGAAAGCCGCCTGGAGGCTGGTTCAGCGGCAGGGTCTTCAGCAGCTCAGCAGAGGAGAACAGCTCCTCAGAAAACAGTCAAAACAAACCGACAGGAATAGCGGAACTATGGCTGGCGGCTGGCAGCCAATCAGAACAAGGTTATGGTGCGGACGGTCCAATCAGGCTCCACCGAAGGCGGGACTTCTGACACGTCATCAAACAAAGTTAAAAAATACAATCTCAGGTATTTTTAAATAGAAGGAAACAGAGAATAGAGCAGAGAGCATAGATGCTGATGCTACAGCTTTCCTTTATTTGTTTTTCTTTCTTTTTCATCATTCATTTCATATCCTATATCTATCTATATTATAAACCATTTCAATTTTTATTTTTTAATACTTTATTTGTGTTGCCTTTGTGTCACTGTAAGGAACTTCTTCTCATGTACAAGACTTTGAATTGTCTTGCTGATGAAATGTGCTATTATTTTAGAAATAAACTAGCAGAGAAGATAGCGCTTATATTTTATATACAAGATAAATGGCATGTACTTATATAGCACATTTATTAGTTAGGAGACTTGACCAAAGCGCTTTACACTACATTCATTCACCCATGGTTTAGTTTAGTTTATTTAGGATCCCCATTAGCTGTAGCAAGCTACAGCTATTCTTCCTGGGGTCCAACAACAAAACATGAAATAATAAAAAAAAAATTACAATTGAAATAAAATTATGTGGACATTAAAACAACATCTCCCATAATCTATACATATACATATATACATACACACATATACACATACATATATA